TTTTAAACTCAAATGCGTACGAATGTCACATTCGCCACTAGAGAATTGCCCATATGTACATGTGTACATATACATGAGAGACATAATTCAGTAATAACACATATGAATTTGTGAAAATGAATTTCAATAGTCAAGCAATCAAGACAAATTTCTCTCTTGAAACTTGAATTTGTGTTTGTATTTATGTACATACGCACATATGCAAGCACATGCGTTATTAGTAACTGTGCTTGTGTTCTATTAAAAGTTACAATTAAAGTGGCTACTGCCGGGACACGACGGACAGTTCATTTACATTTTACGTTTTTTGCTAATTTGCTATAACAATTTTAGACTTGCACTTGCCACTGGCCATCGTCCGTCCGTCCGTCCGCTTGGCTACTTTAAAAATAGCACAGTAGCACTTGTGACTTCAGATTTGCTGTCACACTCGCACTCCCATATTTGTCCAGTGAAGACGTAGGTGTGAGTGTGTGAGTGAGCAAATGCATCTGATTTTGGATGCTAAATGGAAGACTAACGCTCTGTAAACAGCAGGCGCTGTTTAGGTCTGTGGCGTCAACGTTGTGCTCAATTGACAACGCGCCACAGTTTGATGCCGTGTGTGCCACTTTTCTCATACCGTCCTTGACCCAAAAGCTATACCGGCAAATAACAAATCGGCGGCTCGCAGTTTCCACTCACACACATGCATGTACATGAATATACACTTACATACGTAAACATAAATGCATTTAGTACCAGCCTCGCCACCCCAGGCAACATAACTGGGCTAAGGTTAAATCTGCTGTCGCTGCTGTTGCAGCTGCTTTACGATCCTATGAACTGTTAATAAACAGACTGCTGTTAGCGACAGCTGTTATACTTGTTCAGCTGATGTGTTTTTTTTTTTTTTCAGTTGCAAGTGGGTGTGTATCGGATATACATATGCACTTGCATGTGTTGTGTGTGTGTGTGTCTGTGGGCGCGTATATTTGCATTTACATAGGAATTTTCAGTTAGTTACGTAACAATATATGTATTTATGGATATACATATTCCGTAAATGCATATCGATAGCTATGTGCGATGTAGATCATCGATTCATTATCTTATTTTGTATGCATCAGCTGCAGGCCGCCCTGCGCCGACGTCAGCGTGAGCGTCAGAATCGGCAACATCATCGGCTACCTGTTGTAGTATCCGGAGTAATTGGCAAGTTGACGTTTGACATCTTTTACCTTATATTTGATCTGGGGAACTGTCAAGAAAACATGGAAACGTCAAACCAAAATCTGGATGTCAGAGTAGGCTAGTTTTAATTGTCAAAGGAAGTTTCTCATGTTTAACTCATTTGCTTTTTCGTTGCAGACTGTTAACAAGGAACAACAAAACAAAACCCCAAGCTAAAATCATATAAAAAGGAGAAAGAACGGAAGACTAGCAATAATAATAATAATAATAATAATAATAATAATAATAATAATAATAATAAT